AATCTTTAATTTGAGATGCTTTTCTGCGTCAGAATGCTTGAGAAAACGTGGTGTGCTTTACTTAGTGGATTGTTTTGAAAAATCTGTCCGATTTCAAGCAACATAAACAATAGGACAGAAAATAAAGGGGAATGGAATTTCAGAGACCCATAAAAATGTTTCTGACAAGAAGCAAGCATTTTTCAGTGAGCTTCCTTCTCAAGGTTTCTTTTTCTTTCTTTTTTTTCCCTCCAGTATTAATGTTTTCTCTGTTCTGTCATTCTCTGGCTGTTTTTCATGCAAAAGTTATTATGAGCAGCATTCTTTCTTTGTATTTCTCCAAAGGACAGTGTCAGATCCTTGATTAATTTTGCAAAGGTCATTTGGAAAAACCATTAAAAAACATGCCAAGTAAAAAGATTAGCATACAGGGAGAAAATACACTTTCATAAACATATGCATTTATATACAGAGAGGGTCCTATAATATTATACAATTTTGACAAGTGTTTTCCTTGTGTTCCTCATGTATTATTAAAAATATGACTGTTCCATTTATTTTTTCTTGGTGACACCAGCTGACATACTCTAAAGGCATCTGCGGGTTAATGTTACTTGTAAACATTTTATCTTTTTCTCAACATAAGAGGATGTGATCATTAAGTGGAATACTGTTCCATAAAATAAAGGGGACTTTCCAAATAATTAACCTGAATTTATATTATTAACACATAAAATGGACCATAGGTAGCTCAGACAAGGACATATATTCATTTCAATCTTTTAATTAAGATATTAAACAATTTTTCTATTTCTGTCTTTAATTATCATAGGGTACTGTACTAGGTCTTCTAATATAATTCACAATCAAACTAGAGAGAAAAACTGAAGCTACTGGGAGGAGTGCTGGAATGGAGAAATATAACCATGACTCTTGAGAGCAGAGGCATTTGTGTCTGAGTCCTCACAGGTGATCTGTGTCCTTCTACACAGACATGGCATTCCAGCTGTGAAACATTGACATGCCATCACCGCAGAGGTGCTCCCCTGAGCTGGGAGATGGAGCTCATCTTTCTGAACAGCTGACAAAACTGCACCTTATAGATCAGAGCTGGCAGCAGGAATGTGGCACTATGAAGTCCCTCCCTGCCTGGTGCCGAGAGTTGAACAGGACACAGTCAGACTTAGACTAATTTAGACATAGCTGAGTGACTGCTTCCTGCAGCTATTGTGGACCTGAAATGAAACAGCAATACTAGGGTGGCAACTGGGTAGGCCAAGTCCAGCAGGAGAAGTTATGCTAATAAATTATTGTGAATTTGATAGCAACATCAAATCAAGGTACCCGAAGAGTTCATGTAATGAATAAAAGCCACCTCCTGGAGAGCTTACTCCAAGTTATTCCTAGATTGCTTTAAACAAGCCCATAACCCAGTGGTTCTCAGTCTTCCTAATGCTGTGACCGTTAAATACAATCCCTCGTGTCCTGGTAACCTCCAGCCATAGCATTATACTTGTTGCTATTTCATATGTTGGAAGAGAGATTATCTGTGTGAACATAACCTAAAAACAAGTAGAAAGCTATCTTAAGCTGTTGAAAGCAAAGCAGTTGGAAATTCAAAGCAAGAAAAGACATGTCTTGGGTCTGCAATGATGGGTCAGGGATTAAGACCACTTGCTGCTCTTTCAGAGGACGAGAGTTTGGTTGCTGACACACATGCCAGGTGCTCACAACCACCTGCAACTCCAGTTCCACAGGCTCTAATGCCCTCTCTGGCTTCTGTTGGTACACACATTCATGTACATGCACATGTTTGCACACAAATGAGATAAAGTGTGGGGAAGAGAAGAAAAAGAAAAGAAAAGATGTACCTTGATGCTAATGACTTGAAAGCAGAGAGAAGACCCGGAATGTGTGAGACATGGTAGATTCTGCTCACACCAGTAAGCCTACAAGGGGTCCCTATAACCACAGCCCTGGCTGCTGCATTGATCTTAGCTTGTGAGGCTTTCAAGAGTGAAACAAACAGAGCCAGGCTCTGCCTGGTCATCCAAGTCATAAGCACACAAAATGTAATATAATATATGGGTGTCATTTTAGTCTACAAATTTGTGGTAATTTGTTCCAGCAGCAAAAAAGCACATGTCCAATGTTTTAACATGTTTCGTGTAAGTAGAAAACAGTGTGGGTTCTCAAGTAAGACACAGCAGAAGGGTTAAATATATGGGCTTTGGGGTAAAATAGAACTAAGATGAAATTTTGGAGTTTTGACTAATTTGCTTTTTGATTCAAAGGAAATTCTTTGTTCTGAATCTCAATGTCTGAATCTGTTGAATCTGTAGAATGGCATAATGTTACTAGTTTAAGGGTTTGGAGTTGTGTGTGTGTGTGTGTGTGTGTGTGTGTGTGTGTGTGTGTGCGCGCGCGAGTGCGCAATAGCAATTAATACAATACAAATAGGGTTTTTAGAAAATGCTAAAAATGCAGAGAGCAGGATGTCCATCTTTGGGTTGCAGTGACTGTGGTGTTGATCACCTGGGAGTGAAGTAAAATGGTTGCTGTTGAGAAAGGCAAGAAGATTTTTGTTCAGAAGTGTGCCCAGTGCCACACCGTGGAATAGGGAGGCAAGCATAAGACTGGGCCAAATCTCCATGGTCTGTTCTGGAGGAAGACAGGTCAGGCTGCTGGGTTCTTGTACACAGATGCCAACAAGAACAGAGGTATCACCTGGGGAGAGGATATCCTGATGGAGTATTTGGAGAATCCCAAAAAGTACATTCCTGGAACAAAAATGATCTTTGCTGGAATTAAGAAGAAGACGGGAGAGAGGGCGGACCTAATAGCTTATCTTTAAAAGGCTACCAATGAGTAATTCTGCTGCCTTATTTATTACAAAACAAATGTCTCATGACTTTTAATGTTTACCATAATTTAATTCACACACCAAAATTCAGATCATGAATGGCTAACAATGTTTTTTTTGACAGTTCTGATTTAAGTAAAACTGACTTGTAGTAAAGTGGATACGATCTTTTTAAAAATAATAATTCCAGTTGCATAAATGCCATCGCTGCTCTCCCTTTCTCAAGATGTGATTGGACTTAATTATTAAAGTTCTACTTTCCACAAAGATGGGGGTGTCACCTCAAACCTATTGAATGGTTTTATACTTAAATTTATATAACTGGGCATATGAGTATGTTTAAACACTGGGAAGATTCTGTTACTGTCTCAGAAATGAGAAGACTCAACCTGTGTTTCAGTTTTGTATTCACTGGTCTGTTACAGGCAACGGCTAAACATCAGGAAGTAACTTGATTTGATGATGTCATCTTAATTAGAATTCCCTAAGTCAAAGGATGCTGCCTTTTATCACTAAAAGGCACTTACTGTGGTCTATGTGTAATATCAAATAAAGAGTATTTAGCACTTCTTAAAAAAAAGAAAATGCTAAAAATGCAAAATGTCTTCCATTAAATGCTTCTTGTGCAACTATACAGTGAGAATGCAAATCATGAATCTTAGAATAGTCATACCTAAAGTTAAATAAACACCCTTCTCTTCTCTTCTCTTCTCTTCTCTTCTCTTCTCTCTCTAACTTGATCTTGACCATATCAACTTTGCTGCTAAGAAATTTGGTTTTAGACTCCCAGGAAAGAAGCTTGTCCAAGGGTTTATGTGATATCATCTCAGTAGCCTGAATGTCCGGTGTCCAGGAAGGGGGGAGGGTGCCTAGGGGATCTCACTATTGCTGGTGTCTGTCTGTAGCTAGGCATAGTCCACTGGGGCGGGGGTCAAAAATGGAGCAAAACTGTGTTCCCCTATAATGAGTCACAAATAGGAGCATGAGCCTGGTTGGACTGTCTATGAAGGATCCAAGGTTCCCAAAGCATGCAACCATGTCCTGTTGATTTCGTATTTTAAAACACTGGCAGAGGTAACCCCAAATGGCAGGAGATGGCAGAATTTACCTCTTGGAGGTAACGGATAGGGCAAGAATCGAGGCTTGAGTCTTAACAGCTGTCTCCTTGTGGATGATGGAACCACTCATTGGGCTGTTGTTGTTCCAAGACACTCCAAGCTCTAGATGCTTCTACAGTAGGATATTTATTATAAGGTCCCAAGGTCAGGCATTGGCACAGGGGTCCACTGAAGTGAGATACCTAGTTGATGGTGTGTGATGTAACACTGTAGTTAACACCTGCTTTGGGGATAATTTTGTTATTTACTTATAATTACTTGTTTTTAGCTTAAGAAATATCTTCTGGAAAAGTACTCCATGCCAGTCATTGCTAAACACTTTTAGAAAAACAAAGATGAACTAAACACATTGTCTACAAGGGCTTTGTGGTATAGAACAGTGTTCTTAACTAGCCATGGTTTGTCCCTCAGGAGATGTTTTGGCAATGTTTTACCTTTGGTTGTCGAAATGGAAGGGGATGGGGTGAGAATATGGTGGGCACTTTTAAAATTCAGTGAGTGGAAGCCAGGGATCCAACTAGCAAAGCTTAAGACAGTCCCACAGTCAAGCCTTGTCCAGTCCAATATATCAATACTATCAAGGCTCAGAAACCTTCACACTGACTGAGTCATTTAAGATACAAGAAAAGTGGGTCAGGGAAGATGCACTGGGTACAGGAAGACAACTGCCAGCTTAGGATTTCATAGTAGACCATCCACCAACAGTGTAGAGGAGATGACTTAGAAATGAAATCCCAGAGATGTACCTGATGTTGGGGAATTCTCCCTGGTGCTGGTAGGGAGGCAGCTCTGAGACAGCTGCCCTTGTAAAGTGAACCCACATCGTGTGAATTACGGACCAGCCCTACTTTAAGTTCATACAGTAAGTGCCTTAAAGCAGGGACATGGATCAGAGTGGCACCTCCCTTGAAAGGGCTCTTTTAGCCCCAACTTGCAAGGCTCTATATAAGCTCTTATATATTGGTGGTGTGAGATTACATCGCCTCTGAAGTGAAAATCTTTATAATCTGTTTTTCCCACCTTTCTGTTTTTAACTCTAGGGAACATTTCTAATAAAACTGATCGCTGCCCTAGGGACTGTGATCTCAGCCTCTTCAAAGAAGTCCATGGCTTCCACACTAAGGTAAGAGGAAGGCTGCTATCAGAAAGACCATGAAAACAGCAATCACTGGTTATTAGCTCTGATTTCTTAAAATATATTTCCAGGTTGAAAGTAATTTGTTCTTCAAAGCAGGTTTTGAAGTATGGGACATGCTAAAGTGGCTAATGTCTCATGAATCTACAGAGCCAATAAATTTTTATTACATCCGAATCAGACTTCTCTGAGCTATTGGGAAGTCTAGTTTAAGTTAATCTGTCTGGGTGACATTCTGTCTTGAGAAGACAATTAGAAAACTTGTTGGTTGTGCTGTGTTTCAGGGACTTACTTGGCCTGATCAGAGCTGCTGGTAAGTGTGTGTATGAAGCTATCTCATATTTTATTATTTATTTGTTTATTGTATACAGTGCCAGGGTCATATGGAACACAGGATCAAATACATACTAACCTATCACTGTGTGGCACTCCCAGACCTGAACAACCACAACAAAATAAAAAACCCAACAACTCAATAAACTAATTTAAATTAGGTATCCTGGGTTTCAAAAATATTGACCAAAATATCTTTACTGGTATTGTGAATGTAATTTTTAGATAACCATTTCTAAAATTCATTTTTTACATAAACTGAGTGATTTTAACCATTATTCAGTAAATGCAAGCTGGTGAGAAAGTTGAAGTACCTGGGTGTGGTGGCATATGCCTGCAATCTCAGCCCTTGGAAGGCAGAGTCAGGAAGATCACTACTTTAAGTGATCTTCCTAAGGAGTAAAGGTCAGAGAGAGGTATGGGGGAAGGGCATAAGGATAGGGGAAGGCAGGAGGAAATTCAAATAAAAAGATTCCTTCCTGGTCTTGTCGCTTGTCCAAAAGTTGTCTGAGTTATCTTGATGATCTTGATTCTCTACTTTTATGTCTAATTAAATCTAGTCAGGAGTGGAACTTCCCATCAACAGTGGTCCAAATGTGTAATGGTCACACTGTAAGAGTTGATTATCACCTATTACATAGCCATCTTAGTTGGAGGAAAGACAGCATATATGTAGTTTCTCACAATGTTGAAATTGCCTGCTGGTGCATATCTTAGAATATATTCACCCCATTAACAGTGGCATGACTGAGAGGTCAGTGAGGTGGTCCAATGGGCAAAAGTTCTGGTCATGCAAGACTGGTGATCTAGATTTAATCCCCAGAATCCACATAAATTTGGAAAGAAAGAACTGACTTCGCAAAATTGTTCTCAGACCTCCACATATGCAGCTTAGCACGTGTTTTCCCACCAATAACACACACACACAAACACAATAATAATGAAAAACAAAAAAGTGTGTAAAAGATAAGCTTTATGGGATAGATTTATTGAAACAATTTTGTGGCCTGTTCTTTTTTTTTTTTTTTTTTTTGAGCCTATCCTGGCACTTGCTCTGGAGACCAGGCTAGCCTTGAACTCACAGAGATCCACCTGACTCTGCCTCCCAAGTACTGGGATTAAAGGTGTGAGCCACCAACTCCGGCCTTGTGGCCTGTTCTTAAGACTAGCTTTAACATCATCCTTGCTTTCTGTCATCTATAAATAGCAGGTCGCCATTTAGTCATATAGATGGCAGATTTTAATGTACATATGGCCAATTTCAATATTTAAAATTGTAGCAGTTTTTCTACTTCAGTCTGTTTGGTTGGGAGAGTGGCTGAGAAATCAATAGACAGGAGTAGTCTCTAGCAACTGCAGCCATCACTAGACAGAGCAAAGATTCTTAGTTCTTACTCTCATAATGACAAATGCGTAGCTGCCATCCTCATCATGATTCCTGGTTTACAGATAAGGAAACATGAAGAAAGGGCATTATCCAGAATGACACTGCTGCAGCAAGAAACCTGCACTGGCGCTGGCCTCTGAAGCCAAGACTGCCTGGCTCTAGAACCTGTTTGTATTGATTTGATAATGCTTAGGAAAAACGATGAGTATCCCTTTCTCCTTTTAGTGAGATACGTGTTTCCTGCTCCCCAGCTTTGAGTGATCTTAACAGGGGACAATTGTCAGAGGGGACTTGTCTATGGCCTGCTAGGACAGCATGGCTCTGACATCAACCTTTTAACGCCTTTCCCGAGGTTCTCATGCTAACAATAAACTTTGCAACTGGGAGAAAGGAAAGATGTCCACAAATATAATCAGTATAAGAATTCCAAATTTTCCCTGTGTTTTCTGAGTTTGCATATTTAATTAAGCAGTTTTCCCCTCTCCTCCCTCCCTTCCTCCCTCCTTCCCTCCCTTTCTCCCTCCCTCCCATTCTTCCTTTATTCCTTCTTCCCATTTTTCTTCCTTCTTTTCCTTTTCTCTTTTCTCTTTTCTCTTTCCTGTCTCTCTCTTCCTCCTTGTTCCTTCTACAGTAGGAACAGAAGCTAGAGCCTTGCTCCCACAGGTAAGCACTGTGCTGTTCAGCTCTGTGCTGTTTAGCTCTACCTCCAGTCCTTTTCTATATTTTGTTTTGAGACAAGGTCTCCCTAAGTTAACCAGATAGCCTTGGAATTTGCAATCCTCCTCCCTCAACCTCTTAAGTAGTTGTGATTATACCACAGTGGTGGCATCATGGCTGGCATCAGTTTACTTCTGAAATTATATTCCATGAATTGTCAGCCATTTGCTTGGGCCAGCAAGTTCTTCCCTGGGGGTCATGTACATTTGTCTAAACACTGAATCAGACCCAGAAGTGGTGTGGGCATGATGGGAACACTTTCGGTAGTCAGAGAGCTTATGTGAAGACAGACTTTGAAACACACTCAAGTGGCAACCTGCTGAGTGTTGGAAACAAGGACAGATATCCCTCTTCCTAGACAGAGCCACACTCTCTTCACAATGAACTGTCAGTCCTACATAGGTCTGTATCTTCATATAGATCTGGAACTACAATGGGTACTCATTGAATGGCTGTAGAGGAATTAGGCTCACCCTGAACTTTAGAAGGCAAGTATTGGCTCTTCAAATAGCAAAGACCAGAGAACCATCGGAATTTGTGGTTCTGAAAAGTCAGGGGTGCTGGCTATCCTTCATGAGGCAGAAAGAAGCCCAGTGGAATTGGTTTTGGAAGAAGTCTGTCAAGTTTAAGCCTGAACTGTGCAGCCTGAGATCACTTGTCTCTCCTGTAATGTCTTTGACTGACACATGGGTGTGGATTTGAAAAGGACAAGCAGTGTTCGAAGTGTATTGTTTTAAGACTTAGGTTGACAATTTGAATCTATGTTTACTGTAATTTTTTGGTGGTAATAGTAGCAATGACAGAAACAACAGCAAGTCATGTTAATTTGCTTTGATTCCTGTGCACACCTGGCATTTGTTGTTATCCATGGCTTGCAATTCTGTGATCTTTTTAACTCAGGCTTCTTAGAGTCAAATCTTCTCCTGCCATCTTACAAAAACTGCTGAGTGTTGCTCTTGCTGGCACTGAAGTTTCCCCAGCTCTCTCTCATCTTCCCAGGGCAGTTCAAAAGCAACAGTAATCCTCAGGATTCAGCCAGCCTTCAGACACCATTTCTGTTTTCTGAGGCCACCTTCTTTGATGAGAACAATCCCTGTGCTCATCATCTGGCCAGATGTGCAGATGATCACTCTTCCCACAGACCGTGCTCAAAGTCCCTGCAAGGTGTCGGCAAAGCTGGACTGCTACTGAGTGGGGTTTCACTCTACAGACATAGCAAGGCTTCTCTCCTGCACCTTGTCCCTGGCCTCTGAAACTTCAGCTCTTTCTCCACTGGGATCCCTGTGTCCTCACCCTTGTGTTGAGTCAAGGGGTTTAGGAAAGGAACTGTGATCAAGGAGCAAAAAACATCTGAGCGTGAATACAGGAACTCTGCACTTTGTTTTTTATGGAGATGCAAATAGACACAGAGGTCATGAGCTCCGATGACCTTGGACCTAGTTCTTCCTTGTATTCTTACACAGCTTCCTCAACTCCTACGATAAATGTACCAGAAAAGGGGCTAAATGCCCACTTGGCCACTTATGCTACATAACATACTGTGCAGATTCTGTTTACATCAATATCATAAAACATCTGAGGAGCTGGAGAGATGACTCAAGGGTCAAGAGTGCATACTACTTTTGCAAGAGATCTAAGTTCCATTCCCAGCACCTGTGCCAGGTGGTTACAGCCGCCTGTCACTGCAGCTCCAGGGATACGACAACTCTGTTCTCCATGAACATCTGCACTCAGATGTGCATATACTCATATGCAGACACACACACCTAGACATAATTAAAAATAAAATAAAATACATGGATGAAACATTGGAGGTCTAGTACCTTCTCCTAAGAAGAATTACATAAATCTAAAATTGTATATTATCATCTTAACATTATACATAATCAAATGTATGATACAATATCTAAAATATAAGTATGCAGTGTGATTTTTACTGTTTAAGATATATTTATCATTTTATATATGCAGTCTTACCTTTATGATTTCTGTTTACAAAGAAAGTCATAATAGGTGTGTTCCACATATAATTATATGTAAGTCTGAGTTGACTTTCATTAAATAAGATCTGATCTGTGTAAGACAAATAGTGTCTCTACTTTTAAGACTAAAAGCCTTCTGTTCATCAGCCTTGTCCATCAGTTTCAATAAGCATGATATGTGTATCTTCTGATGTTAGTGTGCTGAGTCTCTCACTACAGCCCTAGCATTATGTGTTTAGGTTTCTAAGACCTCTCAAGACATCTGCGGCTCCCTTTAAACTACACGTGGGAGAGAGGTCTCTCAGTCCTTCCTAACCAATGCTGGTTATGAATAGCAAGCCTCTTCAACCAAATATTTAGTCCATCAATGTGAAATCAGGTTCAGAAATCTGTCTTCAGGTATTTGCTTTTTATTTCTGTAGTGGGTCAGGATATGAATACCCACACATATAATATCTATACTGCAGTATTCCAGAACACATTTGCATTACTGATTTCTAAAGTATAGATAGTAATGTTTCTAAAGTACAAGTTTAGAAAAACCAACCCCCAGGTTTCCTAAGTCACAGATCAGACAGAACTTAAATCTAGAATGGCCCAGAGTACTTCCTCTGTCATTAAAGAGTTGACACTACTGTAATTGAAGCCTTGTTTATCAGCCATAGAGGCAAGAGAAAAATTTGTGCTTAGTGGACACCTGAGAGTATTAGATGTGAGGAGCTGGCAAACAGACCCCAGTTCTCAACTGGGGTTCCTCTGCACATGTTCACCTTGTTCATGTTTTTTTAAGAATAGAAATTCTTTGTGTTCTTGTTTGTGGGGAGGCTTATTGCTTTGGCCATGAATGAGTTTCCATTATTTCATATTTTTCAAAAATCAATTTCAAGTATTTTTAGTGTCTAGATTTAAATATTTATACTTTAAAGAAAATATAAAGGTTTGGGAAACTTTTTTGAGCTTTGGAATTTATTCATATCTTTCTTTATGACTTAAAAGCTGGAGGCAATGTTCATTATTGCTAGTTGCAGTGTGAGTGACATGACCTAGTAACTGTTTCTTGAGCATATAGTGTGTTCTTACTATCATGCTAGGTTCTGTAAAAGACACAATGAGACATATACTGCATGCCACTTTTGTCAGAAGTTTAGTTGAGGAAACAGGACAGATATGCACAGATTAACCAAATAGAAAGCAATGCAATAGTCCCTAGCATAAAACACCTATATTTCTGTATGTAAAGGTGGTGAGTGGATAAGCCAAACTGAGATTAGATCTTAGCATCCCTTTCAGGTTTCTTTTATTTTTATTTATTAACTTTACATGTATGGGTGCTTCCTGCATGTATGTCTTTGCATTATGTGTGTGCCTGATACCCTGGGATACCTTAGGACTAGGGTCACAGATACTTAGCTGCCATGTGGAAGCTGGGAATCAAATCCAGGTCCTCTTGAAGAACAGTCAGTGCTCTTAACCACCAAGTCATCTCTCCAGGCCCCATTTATTTCAATTTTCTATCTAGGAAGATAGACTAAAACAAGAAACTCATAAAGAAGTGGGATTAACCTATAATTTAAATGGCTACAAAGACATATGGGACAATTCAAAACTCTCATGTTTTTCTCAAGCATTTTGACACTCTTCAATTTCCTCAGGAATGGGGTAATTAAGAACACCAGTGTGAATAATCTGATCAGAAATATTTTTATTGTTTTAAGAGCTCTAAAGACTAAGGGAGATAAAAAGGACCACAATAAAAAGTATTTCAAATTCATGGCTGTCATAACTGGATTTTGTTCTTAAAGTAATCAAACCAATCAGTTCCATATAAAAGAAATAAGCCCTGTTGGGTTCACTAGGGATTTGATGACACATTGACTCCACCTGGTTTCTACAGTTTTCCTGGTTACTGCAACCTGCTAACCCCATGCTGAACTTTGCAATTGCAAAATAAACTCTTGAGTTATGCTGACACTTGGATCAGCTGAGATCAAGGAATTTCAAGAAACTGGCCTCTAACAAATGACAATCGAAAGCATGTGGAGGAAGACAAAGGGTTTTAAGGCAACTGTTCTAAATGCAACACCCAGGGCTCTTCTGCTCTAGGCTCATGCTCTTCTAACTACCTTTTGTAACTAGCATTTGTACTAAAATCTTCTAGGAGACTCCTGTTCACAAAACAAGTAAATGGGGTAATTTGGTAGATGGGTAAGACCCTTGTCTTCCTGCTGGGTTAACTGTTCCCTACTTTACTTTCTACCATGGCAGGACTCCTGGGTTGAATGACAGGTCTCCAGACCCAGCATCAGGCTGCACGATTCTTTCAAATTCCAATAAATTAACTTCACAGACACTGTATAGGTACTGAGCTTAAAGTTATGAGGGTCATTGGTTATAGGACTCACAGGTTAATGGAGGCAAAGCTAGTATGCAATGGCCGGCTGAAGTGTAGAGCAGAAGTGGATGGAATCCTATGAACTCAAGTACTCCTTTCCTGTTCTTGAAACCCAGATACCTCCTTTTCTTTTCTACAGACTGGCTATGGAAATCTTTCAAACCTCTCTTTCGAAGAGCTGATATAGGGTTTAACTTAGAACCCAAATCCTGATTGAGTGTGATATTGTGATCATGGTTAGTTTGGCGTGTAGTTGTCATCCATGACACCAATTACAGATGCCATTCAGTGTGCTTCAACACAGTGAGTGCTCCATGCTTTTGGTAAGAGGATATCAAGTATGGACAGTGTAAGACGTATCACTGACTTGCTTTCTAATTGGTGATTCCACAGGTCATCCTGGAGAAAACACTCCCTAAGCTAGGTGAACATGTCATCCACTATTAATAAAATACTTCTCTCTCTTTAATTTTTTCCGATGATGGATTCTCCTAAGGAGGGAGATCATTCTGTGAAGAATAGATCTACTGTGTGGAGACCAGGAGAGCCTGAAGATTATTCAGGGGATATGTCTTACCTGGAGGAATTGGAGAAACATCGACTTTCAGTTTGGTGGGTGACTTATTCTACATTTTTATCTTTTGATTTAAAGTCATTGACTCCGACAAATCTCTTTGCCTTATTTTATTTATTTAGTGGACAAAATTGCTTATGCGTTCATTGTAGACTATAACATATCTACCCTAGCCAAGAGATGCTCACAGTCCAATGATAGATATGGATATGGACACTAGTATGTTATGATTTAGGTAAAAAAAAAAAAAAAAACCCACAAAGTGCCACACAGAAGAGATGAAAACAAGATCCCTGAGAAAGTTGGAGTTACATCTTGAAGAGGAGCCTGCAATAAGGAAATGGTGGTAGTTTGGTGGTAGCCAAAACTGGGATGACCTGGGATGTGATTGGGTGTATACATTGAAAGCCTCAGTTCACTTATGATCCAGGAAGCCATAACTGTTATTGTTATTTATTACTCTTCTCCTGCTTGTGGTTGTATTTGTAGAAACATGTGTAAACACATAAAACAAGGCAGGAATGTGTTAGGGGTGGAGTCTCTAGAGGGAGTGAACACAGACTGGCCTTTCATCTAATAACCATGGTGGTGTGACAGAGACAGCAAGCTTGGGAAGAAGAAAGAAACAGGAGAGCCAATCAAGGTCATCTGTCCCCACTATTGCTTCTCTGCTCACCTCAAGGTAGTTTCCTGGAATGGCTTTCCCATTGGACAATTGATCTGCCCTATGGTTTATTTATCAAAGTTTACACTCACTCTTCCTCTCAGAGCTGCTGGCTTGGGGTCATGACATTAACTCAAATCTCATTATCTAGTCACATGTTCTTGCTGGCATTCATTTGACTTTCAAGGCAAAAACACAGTTACCCATGACTTCTAAAAGCAGCAGGACTATGGTCTTCAGGTTTAAGAGTACATTGTTTTCTGTATAGAGACACTAATTCCCATTGCAGTGTCTGTGCTATAGTAGTGAGTGTTGGGCTTCACCTATGTAGGTTCACTCTTATTTTTCCTTCCTGCAGCCTTTGTACAAGCCCTAGTTACCATACAACTTGTATCAGCGTGCCTGAAAAATCTAGTGTTCTGCTGACAGGACCCCCTGGGGTGGCTACATTAGGATCTAAAGAAATAGCTGAATTTGGAGCAAGTGGCCCTGTTTGAATAGCATACCCCCATAGCTCTCCTTCCCTTTGTTTTAAAAAGAAACCTTTTAAGTGAGTTTCCAGTTTTACACACTGGAACCTTGGGTGAGCATGGACTTGGCTTCAAATTACCTTTTCTCTGGTCCCAGTACTAAACATCAGTTTCTGCTTGATGATGTTAGTTTCTAGGAGTTACAGAGGCGATGCCTACATTTGCTTTTTATGTAATTTTAATTTCACTTTTGCTCCTTTCTCATCTGAACTACTCAGAACACAAACACATGCTTCTGAGCTGCTTTGTGCTCACTGTAAATTTAGTTGAAAACGGAAAGCAGTAACCCTGTCACATGCTGGGTGTTATGCTTCTTTGAAATTTCCTCTGGCCTATACATTAGTCTATTATCTTTTAATTTAGCCTCATTCAAATGTCCAAACTAGGGCAGAGCATAGCTAGAGTCTTTGCCAGACTGTAGCATGAACCTGAAGTCCTTTTCCTATCTGAAACCCTGTGAGTACAATCTTTACTGTCTATTTTTGGCCAACATTCTAGTCTTCCACACTTTTACCAAAATAGTGCCTTAAGCTCAGCTCTCAGAGCCCTGGTGCTTCCCCAGCCTACAGATCTCAACTCTTCCGCATTTGCCCTCCATACCAAGTCCAAAAGCTTACAGAAGACATGTCAGATGTTCCCTTGCAATAATCCCACCTGTTGGCACCACTTTTCAGCATTTGGCTCTTTTCCTTTGGCTGTGAGAAAATATCTGACAGAAGAGATAGGGAGAAAGGTTTGTTTTACTTCATGGACCATGATGAGTGAGGTGTGGGTAAATAATTAAAAATACTATCTCATTGTTCAAAGTAAGTCACAGGGCCAGCCAGAATGGGTGAGGACTATACCTCCTGATGCAAGAATTGGAAGAGTGCCTTTGCAAGTGAGCAAGTTGGCAAGGAAGACACTGCAGCTGTCTTGGAGACATGGTCTAATTCATTCGGCTTTACTGAGTCCTAGGTGGGAAGCCCCTCTCATCCAGGTCAGGAGTTGTTTCTAGAGCAAAACCTACAAAGCAAAAACATGTTGGCTTTGTAGATACATCACCATGAGTGCGAAATCCAGTTCTACCACCACTGTGGATGCTTAGACAGTGTGTTTAACCCTTCGATAGCTGCTTTCTCTTTCTCAAGCACATCTGATAACTCTCCTCTGTGGGCCTTTAGTTACGGTGAGAGTTGGAGAGTTGAATGATAATCTACATGAAGACCGGAAGACATAGATTCTTAATCAGGGAAACTATTGTCAGGAGTGTTTCACAGGCAGGCCCCATCTGAAAGTTAAAAGAGAGGACTATTATGCTAAAAGCTTGGTCCCAAGCCTGTGGGTCTCTAGAGGTAGGGTGGTAGCAAGTCATGAGTCACGAGTCACATGCATACCTTTGAAGGAGAGGTTGAGACTAAGACTCTTTCTTGTGTCTCTTTGGATCCCAGCCATGCTGAGGTCAGGCGCCTCCACCACATGATCCATTCTCGGTAGTGATGTCCTGCACTGACAGAGTCTCAAAACAAGAGCCCCACACAGGTGTGAACTGTAGGCTTTGTAGCCGTAAACCCAGACAACCCTTTCCTCTATTAAGATGGTTATCTCAGGTGATTTGTCCCAGTGACCAAACACTGACTAATACTAGGGCGGAGGTTCTTCAAGATGATTTGTCATTTCCACAGCTGTCTTCCGTTTTTGTTTGCCAGACACACTAAGCACTGGATGACATGAGGGCTTTGGTGCTTCGTTCCTTCTTTATCTGGAATGTTCACCCACTTCCTAGTGCTATGGTTAGTACGTATGACAGGTCTCACCATCAGTTTTATATTCCAGGACAGCCTATGCTTAGTGATAATACATAAAAGTAGAGTCAGATATATATATATATATATATGAATATATATATATATTCTTATCACTGTTTCTTTTACATATTTATCACATTTGAAATAATATTTTCTGTTTATTTGTTCATCTCTGCTCAGGTAGATATGCCCCTCAGCTGTTTACAGCTGGGTCTTCAGGACCAAGACCTACAGTACTGGCTCTATAATTTAATCTGATCAGTACATGTTTGTCAAGCAAATAGAATGATAGATGAGTGAACATTTTTCTCTCAGCCTCTCACCCCATTGGCTGTTACGTCAATTAATTTGCTTCCAATAATTTTCTTCTCTAGAAATTGCTGCCGTTTTTAGAAGGGTAATATGAAAGCATTAGCTACTCAGCACACTTTGTTTTAACCCAACCTGAGGAGATGGGGCTGCTGACACCTCTATAAATTTGGTTTTCCTGGTCTGAAGATACAATCTGAACAAGTGCCTTAATTTTTTTTTTATTAGAGCTAGTAAATTATGTGCTGGTGTAGTCTTTGCCTAAATCCTCTTCAAATCCTCATAAAATGCATTTAATGAAGAATGTTGCACTACCTGGCTTCAAAGCTCAATATGACATCAAGTGGGTAGCGTGTGGCTCACATTGCCTTCCCCTTTCAATATAGGGGTACTTTAGTTAGTCAAATGCAAATTTCATTTGTAGCTGCCAGTCATTTTCATGAAATTTACTATTTTAGCCAATAATTTGCCTGTGACTGTGGAAGAGACTCTGGTGGCTGGCTATCCCCTCAGATGGCCTTGAGAGTCCTAGAATCTTAGGAACAAATCCTTGGGGGCAATCCCCCCAGGATCTGCACCTTACTGTCTTCCACTGCACAGGGTCAGTGCCACATAATGTTAATGTTTTCCTTCATGTATATACTTGTAAGATACCTCGGTCATCTTTATTTGTATTCTAGATACTGTAAGATTTCGAAAAGATCAGCCCCCCCATGATTTTGCAAACTGCAAGCATTTAATAAGTATCTGTGGAATTGACATATGAGGAATATGCTAAAAATACTGATATTTCCAGAAGAAAATTCTTTAGAAACATGAAGGCATTCTGGGCTAGGGTTTCTTCTACAGTTATTGTTTGTCAAAAGGCTGAGAAGTGTAGGTACTAATTCTTCTATTGGCCATCTTTCTGTCGAGAAATGTCCCCACCTTCTGATAACAGACCTTTCCGTCCCCATTCCTATATAGCCAAGGCTGGGTGACATATGCAATGTTCATGTTACCACTGTGATTGGATGAGGGATTGTCAGGCCATCTGAAGAAGGCTCCCACACTCTGACCTGGGGTTTTGTTTTGTTACTTAGAAATTCCTTCTTCTCAAGGTTTTGAGCTGGCAACCCTTTCACTGACCACACTTTTGTTCTTGTTTAGCGTTGCCATTATAAATGACTTGAAACTAAAAGATGTGAATGTTTCATCAACTATTATGCTGAAGTCTAGTTGGCATCCATAATATAAGAATAAAGGCCAATGAGAAGGTTAGTGACAGAAAGTAGAGGACAGATATGGGTTGACATGAGTGAAATGATACAAATACACAGAAAAACATGTAAGCATCCCCCTGTCTTCTGCATTGCCTCCCATGGTTGCAGTTAGATGAAGGAAGCTATGGTCCAAAAAATATTAATGCAAGTTTCTATAAATAAACAATGCATGTGTTTGTAATTGTGTGCAATTTAGAGTAGCATGATGGAAGCTTGTGCCATCACTACGTGTCCAGCCCAAGCCATAGATCATGACTTGGACTGTTGTTTCCATGCTGAAATTGCCACCCATCCTTAGTTACTTTGCCATGTCAGTTAGCAGATTGACTGTTACAGGACCACAGGGTGTCTGTTGCACAGCAGCCTAGGACTATGTGCAGTGCCTGTCACTCACCTCTGCTCATCTCATCATGTGGGCATTGTATTATCTGACATTTTCACAAGAAGGATGAGATTACAATTTAATAAGATATTCAGAGAGTGAGA